GCCTGAGTGGCTCAGTCGGTTAAGCCTCTGACTCTTGACTTTGAATCGGGTCCTGATCTCATGGTTTGGTTCATGAGTTCAAACTCCACATCAGGCTCTGTGCTGACAGTACGGAGCCTGCTTGGATTCTCTCTCTTCCCCTCTCTCTCTGCCCCTCCCCTGCTTGCTCTCTATTTCTCTCTCAAAATAAATAAAAATAAACACACACAAAAAAGCCACTCCCATTGCTTCAGTTGAGGACAGTTCAACACGGTGTAGGCTGAAGGCTCTATTGCAGCTTCACGGTGCTGGGAGAGTTGCAGGAAGGAGAGACACACCGCCAGCATCAGAGGCCAAAGGAAATGAGAAGGGGGTCCTTCCAAGTCGGAGTTACCTATCTACTTTCAGGATGCCATTCAATGGAGGGCTGGGCTGGGTTAGAGTTAGTTTGGAGAGAGAGTAGGGACATGGTGAGGGTAGGTGCCTGCTTCAAAGAGTTGTGAAGGGAGGTGAGAAAAAGCACAGAGCTGAAGTGAAAATCAAGAACGAGAAAAGATTTTTTTTTTAGGATGGGAGAGCCTTGGGTATACTTGTAATCTCAGGGGGAGGGGTCAATGGCAAGGTGAGAGATGTTTACTGAGGATATAAAAAAGGAAAGTGCTGGAGAGATGATATTAAAAACACTTAACACTTGGTAAGGCATGGACGATGAAAAAGAACGAAGTCACAGAGGCCAGTTGGCAAAAGCCAATCGTTTAACAGCTAAAGTTTCACCTCATACAGAGAAGAAAAGGCATTCCCTCTTCAGAGATAGAAGAAAGAGGTAAAACAGGAAATGAGTATGAATATAAAGATGAGGTAGGGGCTTGAGCATTGTTGAGTAGATCTGGAATAAGACAAAACCTTGAGATAATTTAGGCAGCTGAAACACGATATATGTGTCTTTACATAAATAAAGTCTGGAGGTAGACCACATAGAGTGGATGATAATCATCAGGATCCAGGCTTTTAACTTGTTTCTTTGTCATTCTTAACAAGGCTTCTACCTCATCGTCCATCATGGATGCTTGAGCTCCTGCCATTGTGTCTGCAATCCAGGTAGCAGGAAGCAGAAAGGAGTTTGTAGCCAGGGCAGCATTTAGCTGGTACAAATCAGAGCTGTTCAGTAGAAAAATTATTGAAATACTTCTCCACCTGCTGATAATAGCTGATGACTCCCTGATGCCAACCTCCTCATTCCTCCCCGTCCCCAATTTATCCCCTGGCTCAGTTGGGACCTTCCATAGCATTCCCTCAGCACCATGCCTGGCTGTACCAGTAAGTATTTGCATTGGATGTGTCTCTTCAAGAACAGTACCAAGAATTCACAAAAAGGGCACACTGTTCTTTTATCACATTGGCCAGAATAAAGTCCCATGGTTGCAAGGGACGCTGGGAAATGTCATCTTTATTCTGGGTGGTCAGGTACCTAGGCGGAAATGGGGGTGGGGGGTTGGTTACTATCAGAATCAAGGAAAAAGAGGTGAAGAATACTAGGAGATCATAGCAGCCTGGACCACATGGGAGGGCTGTGTAAGCCTCGCTGGGACTCTTAATTCCCCAGCAGATATCTCAGGTGAGGAGAGAAGAGAAGAAATCAGAGGCTGGGAATTGGTGGTTGGGTGACTGAGGTGCGATGGGGAGAGGGGTCCTTGGTAGAGGCTGATACTCGAATGGCTGCCCGAGGGGTCCAGAGGCCGCAGAAAGGCAAATGCAGGTAGGGGAGACGAAAGGCTGGAGGTCTTGATGAGGAATATGCCAGGCGGAGAGGAGTCTGAGCCTCATTGTTTGAGACATAGTGGTGGTGACCCAGGAGGCTCCCGGGGCAGGATGAGGTTCAGGGTGGGTGTTTGGGGAGCCACGTGGGCGAGCTGGGCCTTCACGCTGTGTGCCTCTGTCATATCAGCTGTCTTGGCCAAGGACCCTTTCAGGGCTGGGAACAGCAACAGACGGAGGTCCTCTGGGGTCAAAAGCAGGATCCCAGTGGATCTGACAGGCAGGGGCCTCCAGAGATCTCAGACGCTCGAATTGGGGCCTCAATAGGATCTGGGCCCCAGAACTGGAAAACCATCAGGATCGCTGCTGTGATTTCCAGTATGGCTCACCTTTCTGAGGACAAATATCTCTTCGGTTTCCTGAGAACTTGAGTTTCCAGTACGGAGGAAATGAAGGGGATTTTCTTTTTAAAGTTTTCCCATAATTTTTTCTTTAAAAAGTATAAAGTAATACATGGACATTGTAGTGAGTGAAATAGTGCAAAGATGAGTTAATCTAAGTCAGTAGGCTCTCTTCTCACTTGCAATTCTCTGTTCCTCTCCTCACCCAAAATCCCCCCGCTTCTAAGGGGGACAGGGCAGGAGTGCTAGATTTCCTGGTCAGTTCATGCCTGGAGCAGGGGATCGTGCACTTCCCTTGCCAGCTCCGAGTCCCCTCTGGAAAGTCATGGTAGGCCTTGAAGTGGGCAGTGGGGCTTGGGCCTTGCTCTGCCTGTATTTTCTGGAACCCACATTCCCCCCGAGGCCTGTTGTGTACCAGCACTTGCTGCTTCTATATCGTTTCTTTTTTTTTCTTTTTTAATGTTTATTTAGTTTTGAGAGAGAGAGAGAGCAGAGGAGGGGCAGAGAGAGAGGGAGACAGAGGGTCTGAAATGGGCTCTGCACTAACGGTAGTGAGCCCAATGCGGGGCTTGAGCTCACAAACTGTGAGATCATGACTGAGCTGAAGTCAGGTGCTTAACCGATTGAGCCACGCAGGGGCCCTGCTACCTCATGTTTCAAAGGTGCTTTGAGTATCAGTGTTTTGTCCAGGCCAGTTTCCTTAGCTCAGCATTTGAGATCTTTCCAGTATCCACTGTCATAAAGGGTCCCTCTGTGAACACTTTGGATAAAATATTACTTAGTTCTGGATTATTTCCCATGGGGGGTATATTGCTAGAAACGGTATTATAGGGTCAAAGGGTCCAAATAGTTTCATAGCTCTTTGTGGTCTGTGCACAGATGGCTAAGAAAGCGTTTTAAGAGATTTAAGCATTTATTGAGTTGGTGAAAAATTATAATAATCCACTTACTGTTTTTATATTCTTCATTAAAATTCTGTCCTTACAGGCAGGGAAGTGGACACAGGATCATATTATTTACGCAAATGAAGGTGGCAAAAGTGCTTCTTAAAAACACTGATATGTTCCTCTAGTTATGAGGAAGGGGGGTATTGAAAAGGAGTTATGGTTGGTTCACTCTGTCATCAAGCAGTTTTGAGAGCTCAGTAACTCCACCAAAGTGAGAGCACATGATCGGAACGTCTCTAAGCTTCCTTCTGGCGTGCAGTCTTGTAATCTCTGCATGGCACATAGGGTTGCTTGGCTGGAGCTGAGGGACAGGGCTGTGTCCTAGAGCCCTACCTCTAATGCATTTATCTGGCTATTGAGGTGACCGGCCCTGTGCTTGTACCTGGACCTAGGAAGGCTGCACATGGGGCAGCCATGCAGCCATTTGGCCATTGAGGCCTACCAGTGAGGCCTCCGATTTAGATCAAATCTTGTCCCAACTTTACTCAGTCCTCTCATGTCACCTACTGCGGTGAACACTTCCCAGTTAGCTCCCCAGTGGGAGGTAAGAACCGCAGTGTGGGGGTGGTGGTGGAGGCGAATCAAAGGCCCTGAGATTTGTCTGTGGCCTGTTCTTAAGAGTACAGATTGTCAGAGGCAGATGGAATCTTGGGTTTGCTCCCCTGTGGTTAGGTGTGACCTTGGAGAAAAGTCTTTCCCTCACCTGGCCTCAATTTCCCCTTTGCTGCAGTGATGGAATGAGACTAAAGGACCTTTAAGGACCTGCCCTGATAGGCTGAGATTTCCTTCCTTCCCTTCCCTTGGGCTAGGGGGCACTCCTCCCTTGGGAGGGGAGGGGCTGATCACCCTCTGCTCAGAACCGACTGTACTAGCGTACTAGCCTAGGTAGAGGGCAGGTGGTTTTGTGTGGGCCATCTGGACCTATCGTATTTTCAAAGAATAAGATGAAGATTGAGGGCTGTACTGAGTGGGGCCACTTCCTTCTCCAACAAGGCCTTTGGCTGATGTACAGCCAGGTTCTCAAATTCAGGCTTCACTTCTTGTTCCCTTCTTCAATGGCTGAGGCACTTCTTATTTTCCCCCATCTTCCCCTCCACCCCGGTCAACTGCAGGACAAACAATAGTAGGACTTCGGGAGGGACTGTATTTAATACCGAAAACCTGTCTGTGGGTCATGAAGAGAAGAGATTGTGGATATGACACGTTGAGAGGGAAAATCAAGGTGTAGGATGAAGCCACACGCTAGCCCCAGCCAGGTAAATATATACACATCATTTAGGAGACAATGTGGTGGGGTGCTGGGTTTGAATAATGACCCTGAAAACTTAAAGTCATTAACCTTTTCGAGTTTGGATTTCCACCTGAAAAATGGAATAGAAATAGTAATTGAATATTATTTCTACATAATTTCTATAGTAATGGAAAACAGTATCTCACTGAGAAATTGTGAGGCTTAAAACACACACATACATGGGGCGCCTGGGTGGCTCAGTCGGTTAAGCGTCCGACTTTCGCTTAGATCATGATCTCGCGGTTCGTGGGTTCGAGCCCCGCGTCGGGCTCTGTGCTGACTGCCAGCTCAGAGCTTGGAGCCTATTTCAGAGTCTGTATCTCCCTCTCTCTCTGACCCTCCCCTGCTCACGCTCTCTCTCTCCTAGAAATACAAAAAAAACATACACATACAACCCCTAATGTTGACTTATTCAGGAACTAGTTTTCTTTTTGGACGACCTCTCCCTTCCCTCCCGTCACATGTTTTTCCCTCTCGCGTCCCTTCCCCCTTTTCGTACCCCTCCCACCTGTCCCCCTCCGTTTGCGCATGCGCCCTGAGCGGCGCTGAGTCAGGCTGTGGGCAGAGCTCAGGCAGGCCTGGCCGGGGCGGAGCCTGCGCCTGCGCAGTGCGCAGCTTCGGGGCGGGGCAGGTTTATAGCCGCTGAGATCAGCTGACGCTCCGCATTGCAGACTGCGGAGTCTGGCGTCGTCATGTACTCTCTCTTCCTCCTGGCCAGCTGCCTGGGCGCGGGTAAGGCCTGAGACCACCCCTTAACCTCACCAGTCTGGGGAAGGGGTTCCCTGCAGAACGCTGCCCACCCCTTCCGGAGCGACCGTGTTCTCGGCCTCGGCCCTCCTCTCTGTTCGGGTTGACAAGGGGCACTCACTGCGCAGGCGCTTGCGCAGCGCAGATACCTGCGGGGCGGCGGAGGGGCTGTGGGAGGCGGCTGGCGGACAGGCCTTCTAGAAGCCCCCGGGCCCGCTGCTCTGGGCCGAGGGTCGGGGCTAATGGGCTAGGCGAGCGGGATGGGAGAAGTATATCTCTCTCGGGGTTCGAGTTGTTGCCTCCCGGGGCCTCCCCTCAGGTTTGTGGGTGGGCCTGGGGGGTGACCCCTCCTTCACCTGTGTTGTGCTTGGGCAGGGTGCACGTGATCCAGATGGCCTTGAGCCCCATCCATCGGGACACATTTAGGCCTTTGGTCTCAGCTGCCCCAGTTTTTAAGAATGTTGAAGTTGCAGGAAGCACATAAGTATGTTATCTATGTAGATGTTTATCTTTACGTAGATATTTTATTCTTGCTCCTACATCTTGAATCAGATAATACGGGGTTTTGTGCCGATGATCTTGCAATGAAGTTCACATTTCATCTCCTTTAAAATGTCTTGCGCAGCCGCTGGCCCGTTTTAGCAGCGGCCTTTATTTTGGGGAAAATGGAAGTACGTGAGAAGCCGTGCACAGCAGTATTCCTATACTTGTTTGTTGCCCTTAAATAGTACTGATGGTTATTAAAATCATTGCAGGCTATTAAGGCAACACTTGGGAACCAGCTGCATTGCCTTCTGGAATTAGAAGGCGTCCCGCCCTCCCCATGTTACTGTGCCCTTTCTTGCTCCAAACTCTGCTCATTTAAATCACAGTAAAGGGAAATGAGTGAGATTATTTATCAAACTTATCTAGTTTGGTAGTCATGCAGCCAGATTTTAATTTATATACAGAGAGGAACCTGCGTCTGGGTTTTTTCAGGTAATACAGCTGAAAGGGAAGGAAATACACTGAAAGGCAATAAAACCGATCTTTACGGCCAACTTCAATTTCTGTTTCTAGTGAACTGTAATCTGGAGTTAGTTTCCATTCTATCATGCAGCTGTTCAGATTTTGATAAACTAATAAAATGGATGACAGAGTTGGTGGAAAACCGAAGAAATAAGATACAGATGAAATAGATTTAAGATGTTTTTCTTCTGTTAGCTTTCAACACCTCCCAGGAACGTATCTTAACCTTAAACCACGCTCTTAAACTTGCTTTACTTGTAGGTTGTGAAAGGTGATTTGCTTACAAAGAAAGATACTTGATTTTGTAGTCACTGAAGAAAATATATTTCTCCCTGGGGTTGATACTGTTTGCTGCTCCATCTGCATAATAAACAAATTCTAGTCTCTAAATGTTCCGATTGAGAACAATTTTTTTTGTTCAGTATCAAACAGTTCGTACTGGCAGTGAGTCACTCCTCACAAGGCCTTTGTGAGTTCTGAATCATTCAAAGCACTGGAAAGGGACGTGTTTCTTAGTGTAAAATCCTCCTCTGGTATATTTGGGAGTGTGGTTAACCAAGAGACCCTCTTCCCTGAACACTTCAGTAAATGGGAACGTGTTGCAGTTATAGGCCTTGTTCTAATCTTGCTGCCTGGCCTTTAGGTACTGAGTTTGTTAATGAGGGTGCGTAGTGACCACAGCCATCCTCTGCTCTCTGAGAGGTGCTTAGAACTTACCATTCCAACATGGCACTACTGTAGTTCAGTGTCATCCAGTACTTTTAATGATGACCTGGTGACGGAGACCCTTTCTTTCTTTTGAGGTTTTTGGACTCATCCTGTGGTCCCTTCTTTCCCCCCACCTAATAAAGTAATGATACACTGAGAGCATTGGAGAGCATCTATCTAATCTAACCACTTTGACAGTGCTTGCTTGCTCTTTCTGTAGCCTGCTAGCAATCCTTACCTTTACAAACTTAATGGGTTGTAATTTGCATACCAGAAACATGCACACTGTAATGTGTATAACTTGATGAGATGAATTACCGCAGAGTGATAACCACCTTAAGCAGCCCTCAAGGTCCAGGGATAGAGAGCATTAGCATCCCCTGTGCCTCACCCATTCAGTACCTTGTTTCACTTGTTTCTCAAAAGAGACGACTTTGTTAGCTTCCAGCACCATAGATGTGAAAAATAACTGTTTTTAAACTTTTTGCAAATGAAATCATGGTAAGGGCATGCTATTGGCTGACTCCTTTGGTGGACAAAGGCAGGACCAGTTTTAGTGAGGTGACATGTGTACAGCATGTGGCACGGTGCCTGGGGTGTGGAATGTGCTCAGTGGAGCTTAGGTGTCCTGTTAGTGTCACTTGGGTGGTGGCTGACCAAGTGAATGGTGTTTCCCAACACCAAGGCAGGTAGGCTCTCTGGGGATGTTAGAATGTATTAGGTATACGCATATATTCATCTGAGAGCTCATTTTTATGATTCAAGACATGAGTTTGTGGTGCAACCTGCCGAATATCAACAGAACTTCAGTTCTCACCTGACAGGAATTGTGGATAAATCCGATTTCTCAGTTTTCAATCGATAATCAGTTTTACTCTGAAAATACTGTTACTCATGAAGGGTTTATTTGTATTTACCAATCAAGGATTTGTTAAATGCTTTAATTGTATTTGACAAGTCATGTCCAGTACATTCTGCAAGTTGGATTGAATGGTCTGGATTTTTCTAGATGAGGGGAAGGAGAACTTGTTCCTCCATTTTCTTGGTTTGTGAAACTGGCCAGGCTGGGGCTTGACTAGATGGGGAAGAGGGAGGCCGGACAGGGTGCTGCTGGCTGGGGAACACACCTGCTGAGGCCTGGGGAGTTCCCTAAGCCAAGACCATGCCACTTGGGCCACTGTGTGCCATGGCTTTTGGAAACAGTCTTTTAGCATGGGCATTCCAGATTACTGGAAGCCTTGCTCTCTGCCTCTTATTTGATCCTGCCGTGAGAAAGGAAGGTATGGATTTTCTTTAAATCAACAGAAGAGAATACTAATGATGTTACCCTGCCCCTTTTTTTTCCTAAATAATTTTAAGTTAATGGTGAAAAAGACAGTGATGGGGATGAAGAATTGGGCCATTGCAGAAGTATGAGTTGCTTTGCTTTTTGGTTTGTTCCATGAGATTCCAGAAAATAACCAGGATTATGTCCTTGGGTAATAGTTTGTGTGCTGGGAAAAAATCTGTGTAAATTCCATGTTTTCTTATGGAATTTGTAATGGGACTGAGATAATACCATGGAAAATAATTTTATCACATCACTGATAGCTCTATGACCTTGACCAAGTTACTTACACGGTGGTGCTTTCCCCATCTGCAAGGTACAGTTACTGATCATTCTGATCTAATAAGGTTGCTGTGAGGCTATGACGTTATGGAAAGATGTAGCTAGTACATCCTGTAAGGTCGGCTGCTATGCCACGAGTAAAAACCATATTGTGTTTGTCAGTGTCCTTGTTGAACCTGCACAAGGGATTCTCCTTTGCCCTTGGTTTTGTGGTATCCCTTGGCTTCTTTCATTTCAAAGGATGTTTTAAATTTAATAAGACAAAATTGACTTATAAATATGTGTGCTGTATGTAATTACTGGGTCAGGAAAACAAACAGGGTAGGCAGTCAGCAGTTAAGAGGGGGCTGGGAATCTGTATGATAGTTAGCCAGACTTGGTGTGTAGCTAGATCAGCCTTTCTCAGCCGTCCAGAAGAAGGGGGCCCGATCTTGGTAATTGGAGTATTCATACTCTAGGCCCGTTGTTCCCAGCCATCGTCCCTGTTTTAAGTCTTCTTGTCTGGTTTCCCCATCCATACGTGGGGGCGAACTGTTTAGATAATCACTGCACACACCGGGTAAGTCCAATAGTGGAAAAATGAGGCTAAAAAATCCGTTTCTGTCCCACCAGTGTCCCCCAGACTTTTCCCAGAGACAGCCTAGTACCAGCTCCTTTAGGAGCCTTCCAAAGCAATACATAGTTGACTGTGTGAGATTTCCCCACTTCTTTCTTGTTTATTTATTTATTTTTAACACAAAGGTAAGCACTTTTTTTTTTTAAACACAAAAATGTAATAAACCTGTAACTGGCTTGGTCTTTTTCACATGTGGAACATTGTAGACATCCAAGAAAAAAAAAATGGGAGAATAATTAGAATGAACACTCATGTATGCAATACTTGGTTAAGAAACAGGGCCTAACAAATTCCTCCTCCCTTTGTAAATAACCACCTTCTTGGGCTTGGTGTTTATCATTCCCCTGTAGGCCTTTATCCTTTCATGCATGTAAGTATGACTGTCACCAGTATGTATGGTACCGTACTGGGTATTCTTGGGTTATTTTTTTTTTTTTGGCTAGTGAAGTTCATTCATGTTGATAATGTGTGGGTCTTTTATTTTCACTACAGTATAGTATTTCACTTATGTCATACTTTGTTGCTAGACTTAAAGATTATTTCTAGTTTTGCTTTTCTCTTAAACTGCTTCTATAAGTGTTCTTGTGCACATGGATAGAAATTTCTCTAGGAGATATTCCTAGGAACGGAATTGCTGAGTTGTGGGCTATATATATTTTACTTTAACTAGGAATTGCCGAATTCCTCTCAAATATTTTGGCTATTTGTAGTCCCCTGGTAGTAGTTTTATTTGCATCAATAACATTTGATGTTGTCAGACTTTAAACTTTGCCAGTTTTGCGAAGAGTAAATAGGTTTGCATTTCCATCTAGTATGGAAAGACCTATTTTTTAAATTTCACAATAATTTGAGATTTATAGGGGCACCTGGGTGGATCAGTCAGTTGAGCTTCTGACTTCGGCTCAGGTCATGATCTCACGGTTTGTGGATTCAAGCCTCGCATCAGGCTCTGTGCCGACAGCTCAAGAGCCTGGAGCCTGCTTCGGATTCTGTGTCTCCCTCTCTCTGCCCCTCCTTTGCTTGCACTCTGTCTCTCACTGTCTT